ATGGAATTCAGAGACGGTGACACGAGCTCCTGCTTGTCTTGGCAAAGGGACATCAAACATGTGACCAAAGCCAAGATGGCCAACGCGCCTCCACCTGACCTCTCCGCTTGACCCTTCCGGCCCACTTAGGGGCTGGCAGGACAGTGGCCTCACGCGGGGGAGAGGGCAGGGCCCCCACGCACTTGGGGCTCCGTCACCCGGGGCCCTCGAGGCGCAGCGCTCCTGCCCCTCACACCGGGGAGGGGCTCACGGCGGCTGCGGCCAGCACACTGTAGCCCTGCGCGTCGGCCACGTTGGGGCTGGCGAGGTCGTCCCTGAGCACGCTGTGCACCCAGTCGTAGTTCCCCTCCTTGGCCTTCAGGATCAGCTCCCGCGAAAGCCGCTCCTTGGGGCCGCGGCACCCGAAGCCGCGCCGGCTGCCCTCCAGGATGGCGCCCATCTTCCAGCTGGAGTGTGCCTTCTTGTTCCTGGTGACACAGGGCGCCTCTGTGGTGTCAGAGGGTTGGGAACCGCCCCCGGCCCCGTCCCCACACTCCCCCTCCTGGTCCCCAGCCCCCTGCACGGCCTCTTCCGTCCCCTCCCCGAGCCCTGGGGGCTGCACTGCCGGTGGCAGTGGTCAGCGTGGAGCGGTGGGACATGCCACCCGCAGGCGAAGAGGCTCAGCGCCTGCCCCGGGCGGGAATGGCTGCGGGAGACCCTGTGTGCCCCGAACTGATCCGGTCCCCCGTGCATGCTGCACAAGGGGCTGTGCCTTCCCGGCCAGGCACGCACACGGGCCTGGCACTCGGCACCCAGCGCCCGCATTCGCTCTCATTCACTCTCCTGCGTCAGCAGAGAACGTGCGAGTCCCATGGCCCGTTCACCACGCACACCAAAGCCTCCCGCGTGCACACAGCTGTCATCGCAGTCAAGAAAATACAGTCCTGTGGTAGCTTCTGTTCCAACAGCCATCAGTGATGGCAAGCTCGGCTGATGCTTGCATGACATGTGGATTGATGGACTGAAAGACGGATGGACAGATGGACAGAAGGACAGGTAGATAGGTCACTGATGAGTAGATGGATGGATGGATGGGTGGATGGATAAATGGGTGGATAGAAAGATGGATAGATGGATGAACTGAATGAATGAATGGATGGGCCCATGAGTGGATGGTTGGATGGGTAGATGGGTTATGAACTAAGGGTAGACGAGTGAATGGGCGGATGGGTAAATAGGTGGGTGGGTGGTGGATGGATGGGTAAGTGGGTGGGTGGGTGGTGGATTGATGGATGCATAAATAGCCACTTGTGCCCATAAAACATGCATAAAATATAAACATAAAATAGTTGACTAATATCTTAAGACGAAGTTTAAGAAAGGGTTTAAAATATTCTTGAAAATTTTAACTTAAGAAAATCCGTTTTCCCTTGGAGGCTGCCTGCGTCCCCAGGGCTGCGGGCGTGGAGACCAGCTGAGCATTCGTCCAGCCGTGTCTGGAGAAGCCAGAGGCCTCTCAGCTGCAGCCACTCCTGCCCTGCTCTCCCACCCGTGGCTCTCTGGCCAAACCTGTATGAAGACGTCACGGTGGTGACAGTCCCTCTCTCAGTGTGGACCCCGTGCACAGGGACAGGAGCCTGCGGGCCAGGGTCACCGGCTCCGACCTGCACAGACGGACACACCGGGTCCCAGAGCCAGGTGGGAATAGAGCCATGTGGGCTCCAGAGTTCAGCAGACTCCACACCACGCCCCCGACTCCCACTGCCCCAGGCCCGCCCCGGGTCCCAGCTCACCAAGCACCTGCTGCGCACCCCTTCCCCAGGGCTGGCCAGTGGGACCCTGGGACCCCACGCCCCGCCTGGCTCCCTGCAGCCCTCCTGCACTCGGGGCCCATGTCCCAGCCCTCCCTCTCCATCATGGGGGGGTGGGGGTGGCGTCCGTTCAGCTGAAAAGAGGAGCCCATTTACGTTAACCTGACGAACACCCAGGGCCACTGAGCCAGGCGCCGGGCTGTCCGCGGTGGAGCGGTGCCCGGGCCCGCCTCGCCCACTACCTGAACTTGTAAGTATGCTTCTGGATTTTGACCAGTAACGGGGTCTCGTTCTTGATGAACCAGGGTTCTCCGTCCTCCACGAACGGAGGGATGTCCTGCCGGAAGATCCAGGCGTCCAGGTCCTCACGGAGCGCGCGGGTCATGGGCAGGTGGGCGTTGTCGGTGGAGTAGATGTACATTTCGGGGGGCGTGGTCAGGCTGTCGTCCAGCAGGAACCGCTTGTAGTCGTAGAAGAAGGGGTCCTGCTCCTCGAGCAGGTCCCACCGCAAGGTCTCGTCGTCCGACAGGCTGATCCTCGCGGCAGAGCGCACCAGGAAGCCCGCGAACTCGGGGTAGCTGCGCAGGGAGAAGCTGCCGGGAATGTCCATGCACAGCCTGACCAGGTGCTGTCGGAACCACAGCCCCACGTCCTGGCAGCCGTCGGGGTAGGTCTCGACGCCCGGGCCGAAGCGCTCGTCCGCCTTGTACAGGCCCTGCGGGACAGGCCAGGGCGCGGAGCGGGGGCTCAGCGGGCGGCTGGCTTCGCGACCACCGGACCCTTAAACCCAGAAGCCACACCCCTACGCAGCGCGCTCATTCGCGGACACTCACTGGGGTTCGGTATGGCCCCCGGCACGGGGACCACATGCAGGTGTGCAGCTAGGGACGTGTCGCTGAAGGGGTCCCAGGGGCCGGGACGGTCGGGGCGGCCTTTCTGAGCAGGTGGGACTGACTGGGGTCTCGAGGTGGACCAACCTTGAGGGATGCCATGAGGGGCTCATTTCAGGGAACCTCCTGCAGCTCTGACATTGGGGCCCAGCCCAGGTACCCCGCAGTGCGTGGGGTGGAGGCATCAGACACATCGCAGCAGGTGTGACTGAGAAGCGGCAGGAGGAACTGACCCTTGCTGCCCATGAACCCAGCAGAATGCAGCCTTTCTGGATGCTTCTACCAGGTGTGGGGAGGGACACTCCAGGAGGGCTGGAGGAGGCACAGTGAGCGGCAATGCCACCCTTGGGACAAGGGGACCCGGGACAGGGAGCCCAAGGATAGGCCCAGATCCCCAGGGGGCTGATCTTTCCTGCCGCGGCCTTGAAGGACACCTGGGGGTCCTGGGAGGGCCGAGGAGGCCGCCTGGGCCTCACGGGAGGGACAGACATGCCCCTCCCCGAGCCGCGTCCTCATCCTGGCCGGTCGGTGGCCCCATGTCAGGTCCCTGTCGTCCAGTGTGCTGTCTCAGTGTCTCTGGCCGTGGTCCCAGGGACGGGTGCCACTTGGATATGAGGCTCACGATGCCCTGCCACCTGTGAGAAGCTCCCGGACTAGAACAGGCAGCGGAAGGCAAAGGGACCGAGAAACACGAGCTGAGGGTGACCTCATTCTGAAGGGGCTGGCAGAGAGGTGCGGGCTGTTTCCGGAAGAATCTGCAGAATGGCAATGGGCACGAAGTGCCACCAGAGTCTGAAAGTCGCCAGATGGGGCCGGAGGGAGGCGGAGGCACGGAGGGAGGGAGCAGGTGGCACCGTGAGGTGCTCTGGCGAGTCACTGAGCAGGTATAAGCCACAGATGGGGGGGCCCAGAAGACTGGGGGTGGGGCAGGGGAGGGGCCTGCGGGGAGGCGGGCCACGGGAAGCACCAGCCGCCCATCACAGAGTCCAAGGGGCTCGTAGCCCCGAGCCGGGGGCTCCGGGTTTGGGATCCGGTGTGAGGAAGAGCCTGCCCTCAAAGCTGGACGCACAGCCACGGTCACACAGCACGCCGTCGCCGGCGGCACACAAGGAAGGCGTGTCCACAGGACGCAGCCTACCGCGGGCTTTACATGTTCTGTTTTTGATACTTGTTTACTTTTTGAGCAAACACTCTCCCTCCTGGAAAAGCATCCCAAAGGTCGCCAGCCACACACAGCGGGTTTCACACGCAAGGCGGTGACCGAGGCACTGCAGGGACGCTGTCCCGTGTCACCATCCGTCCCGTGTCACCATCCTTCGTGCACGACTGCCCGCTGCAGGGCGGGGGCGGGGGCTGAGGTGCATACGCTCCAAGTTTGTAAATGTGGAGATAACGCTGTGAGTCATCGGCAGTGACGAGGGAGGAATCGGGT